TGACCTTTATTGATTGGATAATAACATTGATAACACAGAGACCTATGTCCTCCAAATGGGCTCACATGCTCTTTCCCACAACCTCCAAATAATGCTATCAAGCTATGTCTCTATCAGTATATCAGTCCATTGATTAGGCCAGACCCCTTCCAGTCCAGGCACTTCCTAAAAGTACTACTTCTGAACACTACACTGAGGACCAAGTCTTGAACATATGAAGTTTGTGTGTTGTTGGGGGAAGTCCTGTATATTTGTCAATAAAGCACTGTTGGCCAATAGCGAACCAAGATAGGTGGGACTAGGAGTCCAGGAGGACTCTGGGTAGGAAAAACACAGGGAGTCAAGATGTAACACCATAACACCATGGGGTAGGAAGCCTAGAAACTTCTCCGGTAAGAGACGTACTTAGATTAACAATTATGGGGTAATTACTTAAGTCAGAGCTAGCCAATAAGAAACAAGCAAGGCCAACAGCTTCATAATTAATATAGCCTCCTGTGTGTTCATTTGGGACTGATGGGGCTCTGGAACCAGGCTGGCGGGAAGGCTTCCCTTTACACTATGTGTGTGTGTGTGTGTGTGTGTGTGTGTGTGTGTGTGTGTGTGTGTGTGTGTAGGGCAAAGCAATTCAAAATTCAAAATATGCATCACTTTTAGTTGCCACTGGAAAGATGCAGACAGCGTCTCTCAGCAGTCACTGGTCTCACAGAACATCTGAAAACACCTTCTTGATATCATATTATCTAAGAAGATTATTATTCAGAAGTGTCCCAAGGGAGAGTGACTAGTGTCAGGACACAGTCTATGAAGCCCATGGTAAGGGCATATGACATTTCGAATAACCCAAGCATCTACCTATTCCCCAGTGACAGAGGTGCCCCCATCCTTAAGGCATTCTAGACAAATCTCTGCCTCTCTCATTACTTATTTTGTGTTTCACTGCAGTTCTTCCAAGGTCACATATTTCCTTTTGCTAGAGCCATGTTGTATTCCCAGGGTAGGTATGTTTTGAAAATCAGCTCCTTAGTATGTTAGTAATATGATTTTAAAGGAAAGAAATGGAGACAGTGGGTGAACTCTATGATTTGAAAAGAAATGTATGTGAAATAAAAACACAGTGTTAATTTGGTACTGGGACTATTAAAGGTAACCTCAAACTGTCTTATGAAACACTGCAGGCTATGTTCCTTGTAACGTTGGGCTGTACCCCTGCTTTTTCTGAAACATTTTGTCTCCTTTAATTATGCATTTAGAGTTGATGTCTGGAGGTCGGCCATTTGTCCCATTCCCAAGGCACCTCACTGTTACCCAACCACCACCTGCCTCTAAGCATGTACACTTGGTGGAAGAATAAAGTTTCATCAATCAATACTGGAACTGTGACTAACTGTGTTAGCATCTCACCCATCATGGCTGTTCCACAAAATGGAATGATAAGAAGAGTTAAGGTTTTTGGATTTTTCTTCCATGGTTGTGAAACCTGGAAGTAATCCAGCTGCTGGGTCAAAGACAAGCTTCACCTGTACTGGTTTAGATCCATCATGCATGCGAAGTGGAAAGATAAGGTTACACCCAGTGAGGTGCTGAAACATGGGAAATCGAACAGACCCAAGGGCCGTGGTAATTAAAGCAGAGCTCTGCCAAGTAGGGCTTATCAACCAAAGGGACTGTCGACTCCCCAAATGTGCACAGTTCAAGATCAAACTCGGTCAATCCCTGCATATGGCGGAGAGGTACTTGGAGGGTCTGTTTGAAGCTGAGTCTGAGCTTTGCTGGCATCCATTCAAATTCGTACAGTGGACTTTGATCATAGAATGAAGGGTCACAGGATTTCAGACCAAACTTGGACTCAGGTACCTTTAACTTTAACAAAAGGGTAGATTAGAAGAAAGCAGAGATTTCAATCCCACGTCAAGAAGATATCACTGTCAGGAGGGGCTGTCAGTGCCCCACAAACTGCCTTCAAGCTGCAAAGGCCACCAAACCTATCTCAACTGGTGTCTTTCAAGATATTTTTCTGTTCCTAGTTCCCCCTTGCTGAGCTCATGGGCACCAGTAGGGATACACAGAGAGTCAATTATTTCTCTAGTGTATTTACATTCTCCAGGTTATACCATGTGCTGTGTGTGCCAACAGGAGATTTTTGAGTGGCCTGGATTCTGGATAAACATAATAAGGATTTGTTTTTCCTTGGTAAGGCAGAGTTCAAACCAAGCTCAAGGAGGGAAAGCTGACCACCCAGTCTTACACGGTGGCGTTTTGATTATTGTGTATCTGTCCAGCCCTACTTCTTGTGTACCTTGTTCTTACATGGCTCCATTCAGGGGCTCTGTGGCTGGCTGGCAGCCAGGTGTTGAAAGAAGAGAAGCTGGTGTGTTGGGGGTGTGCTGATGGAGTGCGGGTGGCCTGGGGAGCCATCAGTCCTATTAAGTGATGCTCTGCACTATTAGTCTGGGCCAGATGTTCTACACAAGAGGAATTTGTGGAACCCATGTCTGTGACCTCTGGAGTCTGAAGCCATAGAGCAGCATATTAAGAAAGGACTTTCTTATACTTGTATCCTCTTCCTGGCATTTGCAATACTCTTTCTCAGTGCATAAAGCTCGCAGTGCTGTGTCCCCTGAGGAAATAGTTACTTTAGTTGTTAATGGTACTAGTAAAGAAGTATTAACTCATGGCCACCCCAATTAAACCAAATGCAAGCCCAACCTATTAAATGTATCTAATCCACCCAACATTTTGAACACTACAACTTAGCCTCCCATACTTTCAATGTCCTTAGTGAATTTGCAATGACCTATGGTTGGCTACAATCCATCTCATGCAAAGCCCATTTGAGTACCATCTAGAAATGTAAAAACTCTGATTTCCATAGAAAGGGAAAAAAATCTTAAGTCAAATCACAGGGCGATATGCTACTGTCAAAAGCCAAACCTGTTGTATAATTGCATCAAAGCTGCGACTATTTTCTATTCTGTCTTCATAATTATTTACATCTGTTCTCCTTTACAAACATGAATTCTAAGTTAAAATTCTTTTGCGTGCCTGTATGTGTGTGCATATGTGCATGGAGGACAGAGATCACCTTTTAATGTCCTTCCTAAGGAGCCATTCATCCTGCTGTTTCAGACAAGCCCCTCGCTGGCCATAGCTCACCCAGCAGGCTGGACTGGCCAGCTCTTGGGCCCGGGAAAGCCTCTTTTCTCGGCCCCTCAGCACCAGCATTACAAGTGTGCTCCGTCACACCCAACTCCTCTTAGCATGAGCTCTGGGGACTGAACTCCTGCTCTCACGATTGTGCTGCCAGCACCTCACTGGCTGAGCCATCTCCCCGATAAAACAAAACCCTTTGGCAATCGAAAGGACCCACTTCTCTGCTCTGTCACAGTCACATCTGAGTGTCCAGCAAAGGCACCGCATCCTGTGAGGTCGTGAACTGTCTGTGTCACTAGTGGCACTTCTGCATTGTGTGTGAGATTGATGCCTGGCACTTGGTGTGCTGGGTATTTGTAGTCAATAAGCCGATGATAGCTGCGTTTTGCTTAATGTTGAACTATTATCACTAAGTACATCACTGCAGTTGTCATTTAAGATAGTGCCTAAAGTGTAAAACCGCAACCTAGTCTTACCTGAGGTTTGCACGTTATACAGTAGCAAGTAACAGTCCTTCTACAACCATTTACTGCAGTGCAGGGTCAGTGTTCTTCCCTCTGGCTTCAGCTCTGTGTTCCAGTGCCACTGCTATGTTAACTGTGAAATATTCTATAGGTGCATGTGTTTGAACCCTGGTCCCCTGTTTTGAGAGGTGGCAGAGCTTTTGTAGCAGGAATCAAAGAGGAGGGTCACTGGTGATAGTCATTTAAGGGTTAGAGCCCAGCGGCACTCACAATCTGATTTCTGTTTTTGTTTTCATTGTTTATATTTTTGTTTTCTGGTCAGCATCCCATGGGAAGCTTCCACCACAATGAGCTGACCCACTACTCCAGCTGCCTGTAATAAGCTATCCACCCTGCCACACCTGTAGCACTGACCACGCCCGTTTGGGTGTGGTCACGGTTACCGAAGTGAGGGAGGGCAGGACTAGATCTGGGCTCCCCGACCCCAGGGCTCTCTCTTGCTTCTGGTTGGGTCACAGAGGACGGCCTGGGTGGATCCTTGGAGCTGGAACCTTCATCGGTCACTCACTTCTTGTGTAAGTGCATTCTAATCAAATAAACTTCACTTAACCTGTACTGAGTCTAGTGAATCTTGATCCCCATGCAATGGTTGCCATGATTTTTCTATCACGATGAAGCCTCTGAATCATGAGCCAAAATAAGTCCTTTCTCCTGAAGTTGCTTCTTGCAGCTATTTAATCACGGCAATGAGAAAAGTAACCAGCTCACCCACTGACCTCCATACTGTGCCTGGATCTACCAGCTGGGGCTCTGGTTTCTACAAGGTCCTCAGCCTGTCTGTTTCTCTCAGCCAGCTGTATGGCTCAACCTTACTTCCTCCAGGTCTCTGCTCCAAAGGTAACTATCTTAGCAGCGTTTGCCATGGCTTACCCCACCTAAAGCGCCCCATACACTTGATGCTCCCCATTCTCTTTCCTTGCTTTATTTTCCTCCCTAACATCTATTGCTTTAATTATACATATGCAGCATTTTTTATTCTGTTTTTCCAGACTGGGTTTCTCTGTGTAACTTTGGAGTCTGTCCTGGAACTTGCTCTGTAGACCAAGCTGGCCTTGAACTCACAGAAAGCCACTTGCCTCTGCCTCCTCAGTGCTAGGATTAAAGGTGTGCTCCACTGCCTGGCAACACATATTGCATATTTTATGTTTAGCCATTTAGTGTTTATTGTCATAGTCAGAATGAGAGGCCACACAGTTTCTGTTCTGCTCCCTGTTGCATTAGGGCACACCGAAAATAGACAAAAGGAATTTTTGACAGACCAATTAATGAATGAAATGAGGGGGGGCAGGCCCTTTGCTTATCATTTGTAAGGAAATAAAACATAGCTGAGAAGTTTGAAGTGTTACGGAAAAGACAGTCATTAAGTAAATAGTTAAAAATAAAATGTGGCCACAGAAAATTCCCACCATGGCACTTTATTCGTGATTGCCAAAACCTGGAAGCAATGAAGATGTCATTCAGTTGATGAGCTAATTAACGGTGGTACATCTAGGCAATGGAATGCTGCAATCACAAAAAGAAAAAGAGAAAAAAAAAAGAGTGTCAAGTCTTGAAAAGATCTGGAGGACTGGATAATGGTGGTGCACGCCTTTAATTCCAGCTCTCAGGAGGCAGAGGCAGGTGGATCTCTGATTCTGAGGCCAGCCTGGTCTACAGGATCGAGTTCCAGGACAGCCAGGGCTACACGGAGAAACCCTATATTGAAAAAGAAATAAACAAAGAAACAAAAGAAAAGACCTGCAGGAAACTAAGCTGTCACTACAGAGTTAGTGGAAGAGACGGTGTAAGAAGGCTGCAAGCTAGAGCATTCCAGCCAGATGGCACTGGAAAGGGCGAGATTGCAGACAGCAATGAGAAAGCAGTGGGTGTTGGAAAGCAGCGCACAGAAAGGGGAAACAACACCATGGAGGACTTTTTACAGGGTAGCAAAACTGTTTCTCCAGACACCATAATGGTAAACACATGTCATGTACATCTGCACAGACAGGATTTCAACACCAAGAGTGAACCCTAGATAGAAAGGACTGAATCTGGGTGATGATGAGGATGAAGGCCAATCAATCAGTCATACCTGATTGCCATTTGAGTGAGTGATACCGGGGATACTGTGTGAGAGGGAAGAAGGTGTACAGAAAGGCTTTGAACTTTTTGCTCAGTAGTGTGATACACAATAAAGAAAAAAAAACAAACAAATGCACAGATAATATGTGAGCAAATCAAAATGTCACCAACATAAATGTGTTGAAAATGGGGAGTGTCTGTATTACAGGAAACACGTCAGGGAGAGGGACATGCTGTGGGCCTTGCGTATTTGCCCTGCAGAATGATGGGCAAACCAAGTCCTGAGCTTTCCAGAAAGGACTAGAGGAAATGCGACAGGCTTCAGGGTCTACAGTTACAACAGGAGGTCTCAGGGAGCTGAAGCTGGGTCTCTAGAATTATACAGGGCTCAGGAGGAGGAAACTGGTTCTTGAAGAACTGCCAAAAAATCTTCATGATCTTGAGACTCAGGAAGATAACAGAGGACTTTTTTGTTTTTGTTTTGTTTGTTTAGTTGGTTGGTTTTGTTTTTTGTTGAGACAGAGTTTCTCTGTATAACAGCCCTGGCTGCCCTGGAACTCACTCTGTAGACCAGACTGACCTCAAAGTCATAGAGATCTGCCTACCTCTGTCTCTGCCTGCCTCTGAGTGCTGGGTTTAAAGGAGTGCACCACCACTGCCCAGCTCAACAGAGGGTTTTTAAGCAAATTGCACAATCAGAATATCTTTTAAACTTTATTTAGGAGCCACAAGACAAAAGGTTATAATGAAGCAAGTCTCAGTGCGTACACATTGTCCAAAGTGCCCGAGTGAAAACCAGCCATCTGTGGCAAACAAAACTAGAAACACAGAGTTCCCTCTTCCTGGAACTTTTCAGTTCTGGAACACATGAAACCCATCTCCAACCAGGTCACCATCTATTGGCAATGTTCTTTTCATCCAGCCAAACTTCTGCTTCCCTTCTGCAGAACCTTCACAGATCTTTCTGTTCTCCTGGGGACTTCTTTCTTTGATGTTCTCAAATGCTAAGGTCTATGGTCTAAAGCAGAATGCCCTGTCCTTTCTGACAAGCCTTTGTACCCCATTTACCTCTTCTCACTTACCTAGACAGGAGATGAAAATATGCTGGGTTTTCAAAAAATGCACTAATTAATTTAGGTCCTGATTAGATTATTATCTGACACTCCAAGATCTTAGAATGATGCTTAATGAGTCAAACTCTATGGGTCAGACCATCTGAGTATAAATATGTCAAGAGGAAATGCCAGAGGAAGAACTAAGCAGACACCAAACAAACAAACAAGCAAACAGAAAAAGGCAGGTTGTATAGAACATCAGGCAATGGCCATAAAAACATCCAATGTAACCTGAAAACAAGCTTCAGTGAAATCCGGGCACCTGATCAAGTGACTGACACCTCCCTACCATCAAGATTGACGTCCAGACTAATGGACAAGACATATAACAGCAGCTGTAGTTTGAGAACATGAATTGATTTCTTTCCTCTCCATCTCATCCTCTCTGCTATTGAAAATATTTAACAGGTTCCTTAGCGATTATTTCCTGTAGGAGTTACTCCAGTGTCTTTTCTTTGGCTGTCCAGAACCATTGAATGAGCTAGCATAAAATGGTGCATTATCCCTTAGTTCCAGTTTCAAACCCTCAGTTTACTGCAATAAACTAACTTTTGAGTGAAAACTGGATGGTGTTTTTCTAAAACCTTTCAGACAGCAGCAACAAATGACCTAGATCAAGCAGTTTGTTAACTGCTACAGGTACTCATACATGAAAGTTACATCAGGTTGCCTCCACCTCAACCATGCACCGATTATCTCAAGTTTATTTTGTGCATCAGTCACAGAACGACTGGGGGTGCCAATCACACAGCTCCAATTGCAAGGGTGTCAGCACTTGTACCCCAGGTCTTTGTGTTCAAGAGCTTATAACTGGGTCATAAAAACTAATCACAGGATGAATCTTGGCATCTAAAAGTCACTTCCCAGAAGGATTAAAAAACAAAACAAAACTACCTCTGTATACTGTTGGCTAGCATTTGTACATTCTCTACAGGTTCCAGAATGGATTAGCAAGGATTTCCCCTTATCTTATGGAAATGGAGTGCTTCAGGGCTTTTGGGTTCATTTCTAACTTGAAGCAGAAGTAAGTGAGGTTTCCCATGATACATAGAAATACTTTTCTTGAGGTAAGAGATGGGGGAGGAATGACAAGCTGATGCCTGAGACATCAAGTTTTCCATCAAGGGTTTGACTCCAATTGTAAATGATAAGCAATCATTGATTTAAATGCTCTCCTTCCCTGAACCCACGCCCAGGATTTTAGAAAATGAAAAAGTATGAGAACAGAGTGTTAGCCTTGCTTCCTTGTGTACCTACTGCTTCAGATACTTTTCTGACAGACTGTGTCCCGGAGAACTGTGGACATTATACTATTGAAACTTACACTCATACTTCAAAGAGGTATTAATTACAAACTACATTTTATGAGTGAGGAAACAGAGATTCAGACTAGTAAAACAATTTGTTGGGGGTCATAAGAGGAAGGTGGATCCCAAACTAGCCTCAGGGAAACAGGTTAAATCTGGATGTATTCTACTTAGCCTTCACAGAGTAGGTTCTTTACTGAGGCATCTCCCATAGGATAACACACACTATGCACAGTTAGATATACTCACTGGGACTTCGTTTTGTAAGCATGGGATTTGTGGGGGGCGCTAATGCTCGACTGGGCCTAAGTGCAGTACACTGTCCACTTTTTCCAGCATCCTTGTCAGTTTCTCTGGCCATTTTCAACTGCAAATGTTAAGCTGTGGAGTTTAGTGATCATGATGGCTAGTAGGCAGTCTTAATTCTAAGACAGAAAAATCTTGCTCTCTCACTGGACTTGGTCTCCCTGGACCTGGCTCAGTGGTGTGCCCCAAACCTAAATGAAGATTTGAATTCACATAATTTGAGCTGAGCTTGTTTTTAAATAACTACTAATTGTTTTGTTGTTGTTTGGGGGAACTGTTAGTTTTGTTTTAGTAGTTTGGTTTTTTTGAAACAGGGTTTCTCTGTGTAGCTTTGGCTGTCCTGGTACTAGCTCTGTAGACCAGGCTGGCCTTGAACTCACAGAGGTCAGCCTGCCTCTGCTTCCTGAGTGCTGGGATTAAAGGTGTGCACCACCACTACCTGGCATAACTGCTGATTGCTAAAGTTCGCTTTTAATCACCCCCATCCTGAAACAGTGAAAGCCCAGTTTACCAGATTTGCAATTTTTTAAAACTCACTTTCCTTCTTAATATACTTAATAACTTATACATACTTAATAACCTTAATTCAAGGAGACAGAAAAAATATTCTCAGGAGAAAAACTTTAGCCTTTATAGTTGAAACTTGTATATGACGAATTCAGTGATTTATAAATATGTAGATCACATTTACCGAAGTTTATGAATGTACAGCTGACTTTACTGTATCGTAGGTTCAATATACGAAGACTAAATCAGTTTCTGAATTTGGTATAGCACCTATTGCAACATTGACACTATAATATCAATCATGACTACAAATCATATTGTTTTCCCCAAATGAGCATTATTTTCTAAGCTTTAAGCATGATGTGTGAGGGGCTGGAGAAATGGCTCAGTGGTTAAGAGCACTGGCTCCTCTTCCAAGGTCCTAAGTTCAATTCCTAGCACACAACCATCTATAATGGGATCCAGTGCCTTCTTCTGGTGTGCATGGAGACAACATAAATAAATATTTAAAAAAGAAGATGCTTGAGATATTGAGATGAATTTTTTAAAAGTCTAAATTCACACTGATACTGAATACATAGACAATTTTTCATAACTGTTCTTGTCCCTTGGGTCAGCAGTACAGTTTATAATCATCATAAAATTTCATTCCTAATTCCTTTCCATTTGCCAGAAGGAAAATATGGATGCTATTATCCAATTAAAATACTCCTGATGCTTTTAAGGTAGATGTTATGTGGTTTTCGGAGTTTCCCTGAAGATAATTAAAAAACAAAGGGCAGCTGGGTGACTTCAAAGTGTCTTTAAGTGCTCTGAGCCCGTAGGGATTCTCAGCTACCCTTTCCCCACCTGTCATAGTCTTATGTGCTCTGTGATGTCATCAAGGGGCAAAGAACATTTTAAAGGTTTGGGAGCACGTGACTAAAGGTACGACTTTCATTTAATAACTAACTGAGTATCAACTTGAGATAAATTCATGAATCTAGAGTTCATCCTCTCATTTGGATGTAGTGTTCCTTTCCTTGGGAGACAGAAAAAGTGTGTGTTTGGGGTGGATGTTCAAAAGGTGCTCATAAAGGTGTTTTCTCTGGGTGACTCACTAAAGAGCAACTTGGCAGGTGCCCACACCCCTAGGAGAGTTGACTCTATTAACAAGGCTACACTTTCTTGCTGAGAGATTAAATGGGTCAATGTGATTTGTATCCATTAAAAAAAGTGCAGAAACATCAAAACTGCACCCTGATTCATTGTGAAAGAATTATAAATAGAATTTAGGCTGACACTCCTTTTAATACACTCAACTTCTTTACTAGATCATAATCTTAAACCAGAACTGTGTTACAATCTAGTGGATTTTTTTCTCTCATTCATTAGAATGTCTTCTGTCTGGTATTGCTAATCAAACTCACAGGTAGGCAACCTTTCTATCACTTGCATCTATTTAAAAAAGCCTTTACTTTGGGCACACATGCATCCAGTTCTTTGGAAAGAAAACCTCACAAGTACATAGCTTGCAGATGTTTCCTTAGTAATATCATGAAAACACTATGGAACGTCTCACTCTGAGAAGACCCCCTATTTGGGCTCAAGGTTTCAAAGAATTGGGGGGCCTCCAAAGAGCACAGACTGTATCTGCAGTGGGAACTCAAGAATTGATGAGTGGATGGAGTGATGTTAGACAGCTACTTGATTACTTAGAAATAACACTCATTTGTAATGAGTGATACTGTTACAGAGAGCTGTGTGCCAATTCATAAAAATAAGCATTGTCATTGTTAGAAGTAAGTCACACGTATACTAACAGGGGTGCATGTGCGTGTGTGTGTGTGTGTGTGTGTGTGTGTGTGTGTGTGTGTGTGTGTGTGTATGGGTGAGAGAGAGAGAGAGGAGATACATGGCATTTTCTTTTAAAACTGGTCATTTTTTAAACTAAAGATATTTAATGGTAGGTTCCATATCATTAAAGATGATGAAGTAATAGGCCCTCTTCAATTAAAAACCATACTTTCTTTTTTTTTAAGGTAGGTGGGTTGATTACTTAAGTGATTCACCAACCTTGGCACCAGTTACTATTTTACGCTCTGGCAGAAGATGCTAACGTCTAAACAGCAGTTACTCCTGTCCTCCAAAGCCATGAGTTTTGATATATGGCCCCTCGTTATGAAATCTTACCTCTTTACGGCTTCATCCAGGTGAGTGTATGGCTCCTATGCTCTTGGACCTAGAGGAATGAAGCTTGGAGCAGGGGCCCTCGGGGGCTGACTTGCAGAATGGAGTCCCGGAGCCTCAGGGACCACTGTGCTCTGGGATCCCAGAGACTTCAGCCTGGATCTGGAGTTGTAGAATCTTTCATAAGAGAAACAGAGCTTCAGCTGTCGAGGGGACTAGCCAAACAGGTGACAAACCACTGTACTTCAAAGACAGGAAGTCTCTTCAAACGTTAAATTGTAAGGACACAAAATAACCTACGTTAAAAAAAAAAAAACACCAGGGAGGCAGTAATTCAGCAGCATGTTTGTTCTAGTTTAATGAAGCATGTTGAGTGGGTATTAACTGGTCATGGCCAACCCTCCTCTAAGTAGATGGCAGCCTTTTATGCTGGAAACCCACATTTTCGAGATTTTTAAAAAAGATTACCTGAGTTCACATCAGATCGAAGTTACTGTGTAAAGACTCTGTCTGGGCACACTAGCCTGGTTTAAAATTACATTTCATCAGGAGGCTTAAGAAACAGTGAAAATGTTTTAAAAGTTTCTCTGAACACCAAACTCAGGGAAGGCAGAAACTGCATAGGGCAGCCTTGGGAAATGAGCAGAAAGTATGAGATTTAAACCAGCCTGTGGGAGTCCCCAGTGCACGGGATTCCCTAAGTGTTTTTCCAACTTGGAATACAAAGTCTAGATGGACTTCTCGTCAGTTCTTAACCTTAGGGCTGAGGATGTGGGGTCTGGGGCTTGTGTCAGTCCCTCCGAAACTCCTGAGAGTTTATTACATTAATTCACCAAGGATGAGGGAAGGCTGGGCGGAAGGTGGTGAAGGGCAGAAAACCGACATGTGCTGTTGGCTTATTGCAGGACCTCTGCACCCCAGTGTCTGGAAGAGTTACTGGACAGAAGCAGGGAGGAAACAGACGAGTGAAAGCCACTCTGACTTCAGAGTACACACTGGAAGGTGTCCTTCAGTGTTTACACTTTCCAAAGTGAAAACTTGAAAAAGGGGTGAGATTGGGAAATTCCTGGTAACCAAAAAGCCTAGCCCAAATTCCTTCCTTTTATCAAGTTAAGCCTCTCACTGCAAGGCCAAAGTAAGCTGCTTCCGGCTTACAAAGCAAATCAACTTATGTCTGATGTGTCACTCTAAACCCCAAGGTTCCTAAGGCTGCACCGGGGGTGAATTATGAATGGAATTAACTCTCTTGACTTGGAATTTCCTCACTTTTACTGGTCTTTAAACTAGACTTTTCATACATAATCGATGGAACCAACCCATGGAATGACCCTTTCCACAAAACACTCCCTTCGGAGTGATTTTGCAGTTAACGAAACTCAAATTCGAACTTCTACTGTGGAAAATGAAGTTTTCCCCTGCAGCTTTAAAACCGCTCTGGAAAAGTGATGATCTGGCCACGAGATTTCTGTCAGAAACTGAAGCTGAGTCTGTATTTTAAAATACAATTTACAGTGCCCAGTTACTTTCATAAACCAATCTGCTCCTCATATGTTTAGCCTAGTCACCTTAAAAATACATAACTTTGGTATTTGGTTATTGAGTTTTGAAGTTGCCGGGTAAAATCATTTAGAGACTCATAAACACAGAACACAGGAAAATCCCTCTGTGCAAAGGGACCATAACAAGATCATGCAAGGAATAACTGATAGATTTCATGATTTAACCTCAGCTATTAGCCATTTTATACCTTAATATACAGTCTCCTGTACAAAACTTGCACTGTCTTAACATTTTCCTACAGTTTGTCATGTCCAAATTGATTTCAATAAAAGTCCAGGGACATAAAAAGTGAGCCCAGGGTCAATGCCACGTTCTAGAAAGAGATATGAACTTGGGTTGTTTTTTACTCTAAGGCACGTGTTCAAATCCAGTTCGTGGCTATCAAGAAAAGATTAACACCAGCATTTACTGTCTTTTTTTTAATGTGCAAAAGATAAAATATAATAAAATATTTTTCTCTGACAGCAGATATAGTTAAACATTTGGAGGATTTAAGAGAAAAACCAGTTCATATTGATTTTAAAGTTGACTTTTGAAAAATAATTACTTGACAATTTTTGGTCTCATTCCGTCAGTAGTAAAATGCTTTTAGCCAACTCCTTGCCTTTTCAAGTTCTAAAAATAAAAAGCGCTAAGAATTTTCTTAGTTTTCTCACAATGCGTTAAAAGGTTTTGATTATCTTAACAGATCTAATTACTTATATAACTTCATATCAATTATTGTATTTTTAGATATGAAAAACAGTCCCTGAATATTTTGCTTTTTGGAGGAGGTGATATGGTATGGGGAAATCATTTTTTACAGTATATTCTTACATTCATTTAGACTATTTGCATCATCAAGTTTCTTTACAGAAACATTTGACCTTAAAATTTAATATAGATTGCATTCACAGACTTGGACGTTCTCTCTCCATTAAATGTCTTGAATGGGGATTTATCAGTCTTCTTTAATAATAATAAAAAAGACTGACTACAGCAATCCTATGTCTGTCTGGAGAGAGGTAAAATAGTGTCACATTTTAGTGTTTATGAATACACTTTTTAAATTGAACGGTGAATTAACTTTAATCCAAACTGTGAACAAAAACCAAATAACACAAATATAAAGCTCCCCTTTGAGCTTCATAAATGAAAGAAATTAAGTTTACAAATTTTAAATGAGAACTCTCAGCCTGATCCATTGAGCGGGAGAATCCTAGGCAGTAAAAATGTTGCCTCTGTATCTTAGCAGGCATATTTGCCCTACTTTGTAAACAGACAGCAGCGACCCAGGACATTCACAGTTGCTGTCTGCAGAGCCACCTGCCCCATCCCTAAAGGCAGACAGACACATTGCCTCAAAGAGGAACTGTGTTATTTATATCCATCCCCTTAAATTCTGTTTGTACTGGCCCTCAAAGCCTTTGATAGCAAAGCCCAAACCACATTTAAGTTGACTCGTTTGCTTTTTTAAACCTGATGTCCTGACCTATTTAAAATTTAACACCATATTTCGCAGATGACAGGAAATATTGTCATTTAAAAATAGTTAAACACCTTTTTCTCTTATAGCAAGAAGTGTGTAAGACCAGGGTCAGTCATGTCCTCTGCAAACTGCTCTGGAGCTAGAGTTAATACAGGATCTCTGCTTATCTAGACAGGTTTAGGGATCCCATTTGTCCTTGAACACTAACCTTGCCACTTCCTAAGCAACTGCCCTTGCCATCTGGAAGGTTACAACTACAAGCTGTCTTCATTCTAATAAACCCTGTAAGCGTCTACGGGAACCCTTAGGAACCCGCGTGATGGCTTTAACTCACCACTTCCAGGCTTTAGTCGGAGTTAACTAAAAACACATACTTGCTGGAAAAATGTCTGATTCTTACATGCAGCCTTGGACCTTGGACATCCCTAAGGATAAATAATGCCACGAAACACATCACTGCCCACTCATTTCGCATTTCACTAACTTCCAATTAACACACAGACACACTCTCTTCAGAGGCAGCATTGCCATTATTTGGGGACTGCAGAAACAGAGGTGACATGTTGATTCTCTGTGGCTAAAAAGCACTGAGCATTCACTGGGCACTGCGACCAGTATCTTTCTTCTTAGACGACACAGATATACATAACTTTTTAGACCTCGCCCCCGTCTCTTTACAAACCTGCGCATGGCGCTGCGGGGAGGGGAGACCTGGGTGGAAGCCACTTCACTCCTGAAAAGCAAGGGCTTTGCGCTCCAGTCTTTTCCGGCCCATCAGAGTCCACTCGGAGCAGCTTGGAGAGAAGGTGTACTTTTTCTCAGGCGGAGCCTCCAAGACGGGCTTTGAGGAAACCCTTCCTTCTCCGTGGGCCCGGTCCATACCTGTCCCGGGTAGCAGGGAAACCCGGTGCAGCTGCCCTCCTGAGCCTGAGCAGCCACCTGGAGCCAGACCGATGGCCCAGCACTGCTGGGAGGCGGGGAGAGGGGGACCCCAGGGCTGAGGGTCATTCCGCGCTCCTGGAACAGGGCTAGGAGTTGGCGGTTGCACTTGTCCCCAGCGGGAACGGACTTGACCCCCCGCCAGGCAAGGACCTAGGCCTCGCGGCTGGCTTCTTCGGCCTCGCCTTGGGTGAACTGTCACTGCGGGAGTTCTGGCCTAACCCCCCAGCCCCCACCTCATTGCTCTCCAAGGTTTAGCGTCTTGGTGGACAGCGCATTCCATTACCAGGCTCCGGATCTGAAAAAGAGGGGACCGAGCGCTGCTTGCGGCAAAGCTCGACCTACACTTCATTTTCTTCCGATTTGGAAAAAAATGTCACAAGAGTGGGTGGGGGGGGACTCTCGCACTGTAAATATGATTTGGAGGGGGCGAGGCGAGGCGCGCAAGGCCCCGGGCGGCGTGGGCACCCTGCCGGAGATTCCCGGTCTCGCAGCGCGCCCTAGTGGACACCCTGGCCTGCGCCGTCACCCCCCGGACGCTATCTGGGTCTCCCAGAGCGCCTTACAATCTGCAATATATTATTTCTTGCAAAGTATTGACAATGTGCGAGACTCCAGTAACCCCGGAGCTCTTGTCTGTAATCAGCACATTTATTCACAAGGGGGTGGGGTCCGGATTAAATCCCCATGACCCTGATTAGGTTACAGTGTCATTTTTCCCCTGGATCCTTTTTTAAACCCACTCCACACTGCTTCTCTGTCTATTACATGCTAATTTAATTTTACTGTGGACGATATTTTCAGCATTTGCTGAGGACAGTAAATTTTGTAGTTTATGTTATTTCACTTTTTATGACTTTTTAACACTTAATAAAATTTTATTAGAGCACTTTTGTGTTTACAAGGCCACAAAACTCTTGGCAGGTTGTCAGAAGTCCTTTTTATTATGATCCTACTGATATACTGCGAGTAATGAAATAATCATGTCCAGAAATGTATCAAAGGCCAGAGGGATTATCCCACTTAATAGCTCCACAGATGCGCCCAGAAGAATGCGGACTGCGGCGGGCCAGGCTGGGAGGCGGCAGGAAGAAGAAGGCTGTCCCCCACTCCTTTCTTTACCGTTTCTGTTGCTTTCCTAAAAGACTACATTCGGGGTCATGTGACTTTCCGCGGTCTCAATAAAAAAAGAAAGAATCTATTCCATTGCAAAATGTGCTTTTCTTTTTATTCTCCTTGTGTGGGCTTTAAGGCCGTTCTAGTGGTAGTGGAGCTGGCTCAGCCGATCCCTGTCAGTCACTTTCCTCTCCGTACTAAGTGTGCTTTCGTGCCATTTAAACAGCCGGTGGTGACATTGGTGTTGAGCATGCAGCTTCTCCAGCTCACCCTGAAGGCTTTAAGAGGGACCCGGGAGGGCACGAGTTGTTCTAAGGTCTGTACCCTCCTGCAAACAACAGCGTTCGCTGTTGCTGTTTGGTTTTATTTTGTTTTGCAAAGCAGAGAACTCTGCCTTCTCTGCTTGACAGAGAGTCACAGTGTTGTCTTTATTTAGTTTTTATTTTTTAATCTTTGAGGGGTTAAGACTTGCAATGAGGAGGACTGAGATATTGCAGCTTTTATTCCCTTTTAAAAAGCCCATCTTCTACTTCTTTTAAATAGATGCCTGTTCGTTCGACACACCAGTGTTGAGGTCAGTCTTGCTACAAAAGAAGGCTGGTGCCCTTCCTGACTCTGGAAGCAAGGTGGGTGGCTTTGTTGTTTTAATTAAATTTTCTGTCTCTAGCTTCAGATTTCTCTTTCTCCTATTTCCTAAATTGAGTGCCAAAGTGATAAAAGAGATGAGAATTGGACTCATAAACGGGGTGATTTTGAAATGGCCATTGCTATGCCCATAACACATGTTCTTGTAGACTTTGGCTTTGAAGGACTTTGGCAATGGTTTCCAAAAGTGTGTGTGTGTGTGTGTGTGTGTTTCCAACACACTGAGTTGGGGTCTTGTGTCCTGCCATTATTTAACATGACCCCTAGGAAATGTACATCTCTCCCTGGATTGCCTCCATCGCCCACTGTATGTAACCCTCCTCTCTAGATGAGTCTGCCCACAAGGTCTCTTTGATTTCAGCTTCAAGGGAGCAACCTTAGCTTTTGTGCGTCATTTGTTAACCATGAACAAAACTTAGTACTTGATCTAGTAGCCTACTGTACGTGTGTCTCTGATGGTCTAGGCTCTGAAAGGAGCTCCATGGAGGATATGTTCACCCTTAAAGAAACTGATCCACTCAAACTGTTCCCACAACCATCTTAACTTTTTATAGATGTTTTGGACTTGCAAGTGTGTCAGGCTTTTTCCCCTCTTTGCATGGTTTCCCTAGCAGTGGAAGGACCCAGAGAGAAAGTGGTGTTAGGTTCGGAGGAAATCTTCTCCATTCTGGTTATAACTGATGGTTTATGTTTGCTGCCTCTTATTGTTGAAGATGGGGGAAAGGGATCAGACTGAGTCACTCCAAATTTCACAGGGCTTTAAGTAAGGGGATCAATGCCTGTGTGTGAGAACCAAGGGGAAACTATTCATTTTCATTCTGTATAACAATTCAGGAAGCTTGTGCCTAGCACAATTTAAATAATACTTCAAAGGCTGTAACAGATTTCAAGTTAAAAGTTGGCTTCATTAGATTACAAAGTAAATGTCTTTGTGGTAGACATATTTTATACCTTGGAGTTTTGTAACTCTTATTTCAAAGAAGTGGCAGAGAGCAAGCTGGTAGCTGGGTGTTGGATGCATGGCTGTCAAGGGCTGCTTCCTAGACTGTCCTGGTGGAGGCAGGTATGGTCACTAGGCAGTACCAGGGGCTGGACAGGCCTCACAGTGGACCTGATTCTCCTAAGGGTGGGTAGTGCATTATTCAGGGGACAGAACTTACAGAATATATCAGGAAGGGACTTGATGTTCCTATGGATACTAATAAGGCTCCTGCTGACCATTCTGAGTCATTCAGTACCATATTTCAGCTGATCTCTTCCCCTCTCTCTTTGAAATAAGAATTACAAAACTCCAATGTATAAAAGATATACCACACACCCCAGAGCACCCCATATTACCATCTGCTGCTCAGTACACAGTGTTATGTGTGTTATTATGATATTAGAATGGTTTACAGGAGGTGGTCCAGCTAGCCCACCAATGGCTGTCTACAAAGAGAGGTCCAAGAATCCAGTAGTTGGTCAGTCTGTCAGTCCACGAGGCTGAATGTCACAGCTGGTCTTCAGTGTATGCCAGAATCTCAAAGAAGTAGGCTCTAATGCCAGCGAAGGAATGGACTTGCCACCAAGAGTGAGAGCAAGCAAGCAAAGAACAAGCTTCCTTCTTCCATGTCCTTTACATGGGCTGCCAGCAGCAGGTATGGCCCTTATTAATGGTGGATCTTCCAGCCTCCAAGATCTGGATTAAAAGTAGGTCTTCCTACTTCAAATGATGTAATTAATAATAAAATCCTTCACCAATGTACCCAGCCACTTAGGTTTTAGTTAATTCCAGATGTGCTCAGGTTGACAACCAAGAATGGCCATCACAGGTCCCATTCCTGGACAGGTTGTGTTCAGCTGCTCTCTTCCTTTTCGGTGTGTTTCTCTGTGGTCTCGATTACCAATGCCATAGTTGTAGAGTTGTTGAGAGAATAGAGAGCCCAAAGTTTGTTTCTTTGTTTGAGTCTTTATTCCATGTGGTGTGGTGCTTTCTGCATGAATGCCAGGTGATTGACAAGACAATCTAATCTGCCACACACCTCAGAGCACGCCACATTGCCATCTGCTGCTCAGTACACAGCTTTGCCAAAGCCTTTGCATACATGGCTTCATGGCTTCTTCACTTTAGCTTTCACACAGGACGTTATCACAACTCCTTTTTAATGGGGATATGAGGCTCAGAGAAGTCAAACGACTTGCTTAAGGTCACACAGCTGATAAATGACCATCAGGGAATTTAACCCAGGTCTGTGGAAGTAGAATGCAGTTAGCAGTTGCCCTGTAATGTGTCCCTAGATCCCCTAGTGGACTTGGCCGCTTCTAAGTATTATATAAACTATAGAGAAATAGAAATGATGAGACTGGAACTCAGGTCCACTATCTTTGAATCAGCTTGAATTTCTACCAGGGAATAGAGCACAGGGCATGGACAGAAGGTGCAGGCCCCGGGGGGGCCTCACCTGTCCGGGGGGGCCTCGCCTGCTGGGGGGGCCTCGCCTGCCCTGGGGGCCTCGTCTGCTGGGGGGCCTCGCCTGCTGGGGGGGCTCGCCTGCCCCGGGAGGGGGGGGGGGCTCGCCTGCTCCGGGCCTCGCCTCAGCTCATTCTACTGCTATCCACAATGTTCAGAAGGATCCAGAGAAATGAGAAGTCTGTTTTCCTTCTTTTGGATTCACTATAGTTTTCAAAACTGTAATGAAGAGATTTACCATTAAAGACCAAGAAACCAGATCTCATGCGGGTGGGTGGCCGAGCAGCTTTTCACTTTGACCTAGGGTTCTTGAGAAACTTTAGAGGTGATCATTCTGCCAAGACACTTGGTGAGATTCTGACCGGTTCAGGGAATGAAAAACGGCCCGAGACGAAAAGGGAAGCCTCAAAACGTGTGCAAGTCTATTAGTGAGCGAACAAAGTCACATGTGAGGGCCCTGACTGAAATACACGCTAGCTGTGCACCCCTGAAATAAAAGCGCATAGAACCCCCAAAGGGGAAGCTAAGCAGAAGTAGCTCATGAGTTTTTCCAGGGATTGTTCAACACTCTCTGAATAAAGAATTCATCCAGTGATGAATTTTGTTGAGTGGAAGATGCAATGGAGAAAACCCATAACACCAGCATGCTGTATCCTGAGCTTTCTGTGGGAAAAGAAGGGGTGTGGTCCGGGGCCTGTGGTCCACAGTGATCCTCTGCGATGGTCCAGATCATCAGAAGTCACCTTTAGCTTGTCTGTTGACAGGGAGGGAGGAAATGGCGGTATTCCCATGTCTTGTCATGTCCACACGAGGTCTGTGCTACCTGAAGGAATCTGAAAGCAGCTGACCCTGATCTCAAGCCAGGGAAACAGCAGGCTTTGGTGGCTTCACAAGAGAAGGAAGCTGGGTTTGTCACTTTTCTGTTGCATGTGACTG